TTCCCTCCTATCCCAGCCCCTGGCTACTACTGATCTACTTTCCTTTTTTTTTTTTTAATGATTTTATTTATTTGTTTGTTAGAGCACAAGCAGGGGGAGCGGCAGGCAGAGGGAGAAGTAGGCAGAAGAAGAAGCAGTCTCCCTGCTGACCAAGGAGCCCGATGCGGGACTCGATCCCAGGACCCTGGGATCATGACCTGAGCTGAAGGCAGACACTTAATCGACTGAGCCATCCAAGCGTCCCTTATCTGCTTTCCTTCTCTGTGCATCTATTTGCCTATTCTGGACATTTCATACAAATGGAGTCATACAATCTGTGGTCTTTGTGTCTGGCCTCCCCCACCCCCGCCCCCCTCCCAGCCCATTGCCCTCCCTATCCATCCATGTCGAAGAATGCATCAGCACTTCATTTCTTTTTGTGGCTGCATAATACTGTGTTGTGTGGATGCGTCACACTTTATCTTTTCATCATTTGAAGGACATTTGGGTTATTTTTACTTTGTGGTTATTACGAATCATGCTACCATGAACATTCACATACAAGTGTTTGTGTGAACATATCCTTTCTTATTCCTTGTTTTTACTGTGGTAAGAGCACTTAACATGAGATCTCTCTTAATAAAATTTCAAGTGCACAGTATAGTGTTGTCAGCTGTAGGCACTATGCTGTGTAGTGGATTTTGAAAACTCATCCATCTTGCATAACTGAAACTTTATACCCACTAAAGTCCCGTTTCCCCTTCTCCCCTGCCAACCACCATTCTGCTCTCTGTTTCCCTGAGTTTGACTATTTTAGATACCTCACATAAGTGGAATCAAGCAGTGTTTGTCCTTCTGTGATTGTCTTATCTCACTTAATATCCTCCTGATTCATTTATATTGTCACATATGGCAGGATTGCCTTCCTTTTTAAGGCTCAGTTGTATTCCATTGTAGGTAGATACCACATTTTCTCTATCCATTCATCAGTTGATGGGCATTTAGGTTGTTTCTGTATCTGGGCTGTTGTGAATCTTGCAGCAGTAAACATGGGAATGGAGATATCTCGAGATACTGTTCTGAATTCTTTTGGGTATATACCCAGAAGAGGAATTGCTGGATTATAAGGTAGTTCTATTTTTAATTTTTTAAGGAATCTCCATACTATTTTCCATAGCAGCTGTATGATTTTGTATTCCCAACAGTGTACAAGGGCTCTGATTTCTCTATATCCTCGCCAACACTTATTATTTCTCTCTTTTCTTCAAAATGATCTTTGTGCCCAACATGGGGCTTGAACTCATGACCCTGAGATCAAGAGTCACATGCTCTACCGGTTGAGCCAGACAGGTGCCCCTATTTCTCTTGTGTGTGTATGTTTTTGTTTTTTGTTTTTTTTGATAATACCCATTTTAATAGGTGTGAGGTGGTATCTCATTGTGGTTTTGATTTGTATTTTCCTGTTGATGAGTGATAGTACCTTTTCACATACCTGTTGGCCATTTATGTTCTCTTTGGAGAAATGTCTGTTCAAGTCCTTTGCCTATTTATTTAATCAGATTATTTCCTCCCTCCCACCCTCCCTCCCTCCTTGTTGAGTTATAGGATTAAGCATGTTTTCAGTACTTCTGGGTGTATACCTGGGAGTGGAGTTTCTGGGTCATATGGCAACTCCATATCTAACCTTTCGAAAAACTGCAAAAATGCTTCCCAAAGCAGCTGGCGCACCCTACATTCTCACTGGAAATGCAGGAGGCTCCCATTGCCATATGCTTGCCACCCCGATCTTATTTGTCTTCTTGATTGTAGCCAGCCTAGGTGTGAAGTAGTATCTCATTGTGGTTTTATTTTTCTAATTTTTAAAATTATTTTTTAATTCTTGAGGTATAATTGGCATAGATATTACATAACTTACATTAGTTTCAACATCTTTTTTTTTAATTTTTTTTTTTTTTATTTTTAAAGATTTTGTTTAGTTATTTGACAGAGAGACACAGCGAGAAAGGGAACACAAGCAAGGGCAGAGGGAGAGGGAGAAGCAGGCCTCCCGCCGAGCAGGGAGCCCAATGCGGGGCTCGATCCCGGGACCCTGGGATCATGACCCGAGCCAAAGGCAGATGCCCAACGACTAAGCCACCCAGGCGCCCCTAGTTTCAACATCTTGATTTGATAGTTCTATACATTATTCATTGCTCACTGTGATAAGTGTAGTCCCCATCTGTTGCCACATAATGTTATTACAATATCATTGATTATATTCCCTATGCTGTACTTTTCATCTTCTTGACTTATTTATTACTGGAAGTTTGTACTTCTTAGTCTCCTTCACTTATTTTATCCATCCTCCCATCCACCTCCCTCTGGCAACCACTAGTTCTCTGTATTTAAGAGTATTTTTGTTTTGTTTTTTAGGTTCTGCATACAAGTGAAATTACATTTGTCTTTCTAAGTCTGACTTAGTTCACTTAGCTTAATAGTAACTGGGTCCATCCATGTTGTTGCAAATTGCAAGATCTCGCTCTTTTTTTTATGGCTGAGTAATATTCAAAGATGTATACCACATCTTTATCCAGTTTACCTACTGGTGAACACTTGGGCTGCTTCTACATATTGGCTCTTGTAAATATGTCCCAATAAACACAGGGGTACATGTATCTTTTCAAATTAGTGTTTTTGTTTTCTTTGGGTAAATACCCAGTAGTGGAATTATTGGATCATATGGTGTTTCTATTTTTAATTTTTGAGGGGCCTCCTTACTGTTTTCCAAAGCGGCTGCACCAGTTTATATTCCCACCAACAGTGCATGAGCGTTCTTTTTTCTCCACATCCTCATCAGTACTTGTTATTTCTTATTTTTAATTTCTTTTTTAAAAGATTTTATTTATTTATTTGACAGAGAGAGACACAGCAAGAGAGGGAACACAAGTGGGGGAGTGGGAGAGGGAGAAGCAGGCTTCCCGCTGAGCCGGGAGCCCGATGCGGGGCTCGATCCCAGGACCCTGGGACCATGACCTGAGCCGAAGGCAGACGCTTAACGACTGAGCCACCCAGGCACCCCTTATTTTTAATTTTTTGAGGAAATTCCATACTGTTTTCCACAGTGGTTACACCAATTTACATTTCCACCAACAGTGCATGAGGGTTGTTTTCTTCACATTGTCACCAACACTTGTTATTTCTTTTCTTTTTTCTTTCTTTTTTAAAGTAATCTCTACACCCAATATGGGGCTCGAACTCATGACCCCGAGATCAAGAGTTACATGCTCTACCAACTGAGCCAGCCAGGTGCCCCTTGTTATTTCTTTTTGATACTAGCCATTCTGACTGATCCTCATTGTAGTTTTGATTTGTATTTCCCTGATGATTATTGAATGAGGTTAAGCATCTTTTCGTGTGTCTGTTGGCCATCTGTATGTCTTCTTTGAAAAAACGTCTCTTCAGATCCTCTGCCCACTTTTTAATCAGATTATTTCCTTTTTGGTGTTGAATTGTATAAGTTCTTTTTATATTTAGATATTAACCCCTTACTGGATATATCATTTGCACATATCCTATTCAGTAGTGCCTTTTTGTTGTGTTGATGGTTTCCTTTGCTGTGTAAAAGCCTTTTTTTTTTTTAATTTAAGATTTTTAAATTTTGTTCAAAAGCTTTTTATTTTGATTCTTTGTGGCTTTGATTTGCATTTGCATTTCCTCAACGACTAATGATGTTGAGAATATTTTTATGTACTTATTAGCCATTTGTATATTTTCTTGGGAGAAGTATCTGTTCAAATCAAATTCATTTTTTAGTTGGATCATTTGTCTTTTTATTGTTGAATTGTTCTTTATGTATTCTGGGTACTAGACTGTTGTCCAGATAGATAATTTGCAATTATTTTCTTTCATTCTGTAGGTTGTCTTTTTGTTTTCTTGATAGTGTCTTGATGTGCAAAAGTTTTAAATTTTGATGAAGCCAGTTTGTGTATTTTTTCTTTGGTTGCTTGTGCTTTATGTGTCATATTTAAGAAACTATTGTCTAGGGTGCCTGGGTGGCTCAGTTGGTTAAGCATCTGCCTTCAGCTCAGGTCATGATCCCTGGGGGTTTGGGGATCCAGCTCTGCTTTGGGCTCCCTCTTCAGTGGGGAGTCAGCTTCTCCCTCTGCTGCTCCTCTCCCCTTGCATATGCGCTCGTGCGTGGTCTCTCAAATAAATATAATCTTAAAAACAACAACAACAACAACAAAACCATTGCCTCATCCAAGGTCCTAAAGATTTACACTTCTGTTTCCTTCTAGGGTTTTATGGTTTTAGCTCTGACATTTAGGTTTTTGATCCATTTTGAGTTAATTTGATCCATTTTGTATATGATCTGAGGTAGAGATCCAATACTATTCTCTTGTGTCTCAGCCATGATTGGTGCTGATTACTTGTTTAGTTTGACGGTATCCTCTTCACAAAATGGATAAAGTGTGGAAAGGATAAAGCCTTCATGTCTGTCATTAAGTTTCAGTGTATTGAGGTTGGCTAGAAACTTTATTTGGTTTGATTTTATCTTTTCTGCTTAATACTTTCTTTTGTGTGGATTTATATCGTATCTCTTCTACCACAGTAGTGGATTGGGGGTATGAAAATAAACTCAAAAATGTAATATGTGATTAATGGGACTTGATATGTAAGTTACATAAAAGTGATAATCATATTATTACTTCTGTGAATAAAATATCCGAATGACGGGCTTGGTAAGTGAGCTAATTGGTCCCAACATTTGGCTCATTTAACTGGTGAGGCACTTTCCCCATCTATGCATATTGCTCTGTGGGTCTCTGTTTCATACATCTCATCAGGTCGGAGCAGATAATCTCCCCCAGGAAACTTCTCTGATCAAGACAAGGCATTTCAATAACTACTTTTATGTAGAACTACAAACAGGTGCCAAAACCTCATTTAATTGTTACCTGTACTGTACTTCTCGACTTCTTTTCTACATTTTTCCCCTTCTCACTCTTAACATATTTTGTCGGTATTTGTCTTTCCTTTAGGTTGCAGTTGTTCTGATGGATACCCAGGGGGCATTTGACAGCCAGTCCACTGTGAAAGATTGTGCCACCATCTTCGCTCTCAGCACCATGACTAGTTCTGTTCAGGTATCACCATTTGATTAAGATAAAAGTTTGCAGAGGAAATGAGATAAAGGGAGTACAGCTGTTTTCATTGTTCTGTTATCAGAATTCCTAGGTGATGTGTAAATGTTCTTTTTAGGCTATAGATATAAATTAAGCTCAAGAAGGAGCTTTAACTATTTTTCCATTTTGGTCATAAGTATGTATAAAATACTTCAAGAAAAGTCTGAAAAGTGGAAATTGAAATTACATTAATTACATCACACAGGAAATGGAGATTTGGTGAGAACTTAGGAAAACTGATTTTAAGCTGTGAAGGAAGAATTAGGTGATTTCAACATTATATGCATAGTTTTCCAAAAGACAGATGATACTACTATTTGAACAGACCTCATGTTCTTATATGTAAACCTTTAGTTGTACAAAGCTTCTGTTCAATGCTTTAGGCTTATTTGGGATTCCTTTGAAGTGAAGCTAGAGTGATTATCAATCTGGATTTTTGTTTTCTAGATTTATAATTTGTCCCAGAACATTCAGGAAGATGATCTTCAACAGTTACAGGTATATATTCATCATAAAAAGTTTAATGTCATAATGTATCATTTAAAAGTTTTAAGCCCAAGAGAAATTTTATAGCTGAATAGGTTTAGCAATAGATTGAACTATAGGGGATGGCGTTTGGCTCACAGCAGTTCTGAACCCTGTTCCTGTGGGGTAATCAGGGAAGGCCTTACTGAGTTGAGCACAGAACCCAAGAAAGTGGGTAAGTCCTGCAGTATATCTGGGCGAGAAGTAGTATAGGAGAGGGGGCAGCAAGAAGAAAGACCTGAACTGGAGGGTGCTTGGCAGAATTGAGGAACAGCAAGGAAGCTAGTGGTTAGGACTAGGAAGTATGACAGGAGGAGGCTTTTTTTTTTTAATTTTTCTTTTTTAAGATTTTTTTTTTTTATTTGAGAGAGAGAGAAGGAGAGATAGAGAATAGAAGCAGGGAGGAGGGGGAGAAGTAGGCTCCCTGCAGAGCAGGGAGCCCGATGCGGGGCTCCATCCCAGAACCCTGGGATCATGACCCAAGCCGAAGGCAGACGCTTAACCCACTGAGCCACCCAGGTGCCCCAGAGAGAGAGAATCTTAAGCAGATTCCCCGCTGAGTGTGGAGCCCGACATGGGCCTCAATCTCACAACCCTGAGATCATGACCTGAGCCAAAATCAAGAGTCAGATTCTCAACCACTGAGCCACCCAGGTGCCCTGTGACAGGAGGAGGCTTAGTGATAAAGTCAGAGAGGCATTTAGGTCCTGTTGATGCTTGGCCTTTGCCAAGGGCTCAGGCTTTTCCTCTGGGGAATGGATATAGGAGCCATGTTTTGAGCGTAGGAGTGACGTTATTTGAGCAGAGGATCACTCTGGCTGTTTAGAATAGATCTTTTAGGGACAGGTGTGCATTCAGTGAGACTGGTTGTGAAGCTGTTGCAAAAATCCAGGTGAGGGTAAATAAATCAGTATTTATAAAATGCGTAGCATTATGTGCCTAGAAAAGAATATAAGCTTAATAACTGTGAGCCATTGTTTAGTATTACTATTACTACTACTGCTATTAGTCATTGTCTTCTGTTCTCCATGCAGCAGTTCTTACGTGTTATTCCTGTAAAATACTCTTCCATGGGTATTCCAGAGTTGAATGCAATTCTTGACATGCCTTTCTGATTGCACCTGTCCCATTGACATTCAAGAAAACAGATCAGCGTGCAAGGGAATGAAGGTGTCACTAATTATGGGGATTACTTTGAGTTAGTTCTAATTTCTATTCCTTTAAAAAGCAAGGAAAATAATTCCTCAACTTTGGCTCTTCATGTTACTGTTGGCAATAACTTGTACTCTCTAACTGGTGGTTCTGCTCTGGTGTTATGACTCAGGAGTTGGGAGCTGTTGTTCCTGAAACATTTAAATCAAAACTTAAGTTTGACACCTTTTCACCTGAAAATTATTCTTTTTTAGGGTCTTTCCTTTCACACATTTTTTTGAACACCTAGCTTGTGTGAAGCAGTGGACTCTGTGCTGTGGACACACTCATGTTTGAAGTAGACCTAATTCTTTATGGATCGTGTCATCAGTCAGTGAAAGGTCATCACGAGTAGGCCCGGGTGATGTGTGAGGGCTGCTGTAACCAAGTACCACAAACGAGGGGGCTTCAGACAACAAAAACTTACAGTCTCACGGATCTGGGGTCTGATAGTCAGAACTCAAGCTGTCCACAGGGCCACACCCTCTCTGAGCCTGTGGGGAAGAATCCGTGCTTGCCCCTTCCTCATTCCTGCTGGTTTGCTGGCCGTCCTTGACGTTCCTTGGCATTAGCTGCAGGCCTTCAGCCTCTGCTTGTGTCTTCCCTGTGTGTCTCTTTGTCTTCACGTTGCATTCTTCTCCCTGTGTCTGTGTTGCTTTTTCTTATAAGGACGCCAGTCACGTTGGCTTAGGGCTCACCCTGATGGCCTCATCTTGACGTGATTACCTCTGTGAAGACCCTGCTTCCAGTAACGTTTCCTGGTGGGAGATCCCCCTTCACTCTATGCCTTCTTCACAGAGGCTGAATTTAGCTCTCTCAATTAGTAATATGACATCTGTCACTCTAGTCATTTCTGTATTTTTAAAAGTTAATAGCATAATCATTATGAAATTAGAAATGATGTTGTTCTTGCAAAAAAATTGGGACACCTTGGATAAAACTGAAGTCCCCCTTCCCGGTCCCCAGCGGTAACCACATATCGGGTTTGAATATATGTTTTCTGTTCTCTTTGTAAACAGATAGATATCCCTATAGGAGATAGATAACATGTGACAGCAAGCCTTACTCCAACCCTTTGAGACTACGTGTATTTTGGGATTTGAAAGTTTTTGGATTTTAGATGGACAGTATCAAAAGTGCATGTAAGCATGAGGTCAAGGACAGGAATGGGCGTTCAGATAACACCTCCTGATGAAACACGCTACTGTTTCTGCAGGTAAAGGCATGACTGATTCATGAAATGGGATAAATAAAGCTTATAAAAAACCTCACATCCGTTCAAGGCAGGTTTTCCTTCAAAGGAGTTTGCCACCTAACTTGGGTTTTTAGAGCTTTTTGGATTTCAGAATTACAGAGAGAGAGATCATGGGTTTTGTACAGTTTTGTATGTGTGTTTTGTTTATATACAGTATTTTATATGTATTTCTTTTTAAGCATCATTTTATTTTAACAAAGTAACATACGCGTACACACACACACAGTATAAAAGTCAGTAATATTGCAGTGTTCATAATAAAAAAGAACATCCTTTCAACCTCCTACATCCTTTCTCCAGAGGCAGTCACTTGTCCTTTGGGCTGTATCTTCTGCTATTTGCTTCAAAATTTTTCAAGAAGATGGTTATGCTGTTTCTTCTGGATTTTTATAATTGAAATAGTAATAATTTCTTTTATAAAGTTAGGGTTTAGCATCTTTACCACTCTCCCACCCTCACCTGCAGCTTCCTTTCCCTCATCCTTCAACAGTTAGATCACAGTTTTTGACTAAAAAAGTATTTGTAGTTGCCTTATTATATGGGTATATTTATATGTTCTTCCTTACTGAGGTTTCTTGTGAATTATGATTGCATTTCTTGTAATGAATTACCTGTATCATGTTTTTTGGTAGTTTTAGTGTTCTGTGTGCTTATCACTAATGTATCTCGGGATAGACTCGTAAAACCTCTCAGTATGGTCTTCATACTTCAGTTTTTTTTTTTTTTCCTTGGGAGCATCACTCCTGGGCATTGTGTTCTCCTCTACCCTGCACTGCTTCCTTTAGTCCTGGTGCACAGCTGCTCACTGGCAATTTCTTTCTTTTTAAAAAAAATTACTATTTTTTCCCTTGTGATGAAAACATTTAAAGATCTACTCTCTTTGCAACTTTTAAGTATTATTAACTATAATCACCATGTTGTATCCCCACGACTTATGTATTTTATAGCTGGAAGTTTGTACTTTTTTTTTTAAGATTCTATTTTTAAGTAATCTACATCCAATGTGGGGCTTGAACTTACAACCCTGAGATCAAGAGTCCTATGCTCTTCTGACTGAGCCAGCCAGGAAACCCTGGAAGTTTGTACTTTAACCCCTTCACTTTTTTTCCCCTACCCCCACTCCACCTCTGTATCCATATGCTTGTTTGTTTTTTAAGTGTTTAAGTTTTTTTTTTTCCCCAGATTCTACATATAATTGAGATCATACGGTGTTTGCCTTTCTGCCCCTCGCTTAGTAAAACTTGGTACGATGCCCTCAAGGTCCATCCATATTGTTGGAGATGGCAAGATTGCCGCCTTTTTTATGGCACATAATATTCCACTGAATATATGCACCATGTTTTTTGTATCCATCCACCGATGGACACTGAAGTTGCTTCCGTATCTTGGCATTTGTGAATAAAGCTGCATTGACCACGGGGGTGCATATGTCTTTTTGAGTTGCTGTTTTCGTTTTCTTCAAGTAATTACTTGGAAGTGGAATTGCTGGATCGTCTAGTGGTTTCATTTTTAATTTTTTGAGGACCTTCCATACTGTTTTTCTTAATAGTTGCACCAGTTAAATTTCTGCCAGCAGTGGACAACGGTTCCCTTTTTGCCACATTCTCGCCAACACTTAATGTTTCTTTTCCTTTTGATAAATATTCATTCTAATAAAGTGTGAGGAGGTATCTCATTATGGTTTTTATTTTCATTTCCCTGATATTATTGATGGTGAGCATCTTTTCACGTACCCATTGGCCATGAAATGCCAAATGGATATATCTTCCTTACAAAATGTCTATTTAGATCCTCTACCCATTTTTTAATTGGATTGTGGGTTTTTTTTCCCCTGTTGAGTTGTATGAATTCTTTATATACTGTGGCTGTTAACCTTATCTGATAAATGATTTTCAAATATTTTCTCTCACTTGGTAGGTTGCTTTTTCATTTTGTTAGTGGTTTTCTTTGCTGTGAAGCTTTTTAGTTTGATGTTGTTCTGCTTGTTTATTGTGGCTTTTGCTGCCTTTGTTTTTGTTTCCAAATCCCAAACAGTTGTTGAGACTGACATCAAGGAGCTTACCGCCTATATTTTCTTCTAAGAGTGTTGGGGTTTCAGGTTTTATGTTCAAGTCTTTGATCCATTTTGAGTTAATTTTTATGTGTGGTATAAGAAAGTGGTCCAGTTTCATTCTTTTGCACGTAGCTTTCCAGTTTTCCCAGCACCACTTATTGACGAGACTGTCCTTTCCTCATTGTATATTCTTGGTTTCTTTGTCTTAAAGTCAATCGCTCATATATGCAGGGGTTTATTTCTGGGAGAATAGAAAGCTATTCTATTCCATTGATCTGTGTGTCTGTTTTTGTGCCAATATCATACTCTTTTGATTACTATAGCTTTGTAAGATAGCTTGAAATCAGGGCCTGGGAATTTCTTTTCAGTTCCTTTTGCAGTTGGATCCATTTTAATCTTTTATTTATTCTCTCTCTCTCGGGTTTTTTTTTTTTTTTTTTGGTTTATTCTCTTCTTAATTCTAGACATTCTACATTAGCTTTCTGAGAAAAGAGAATGGATGTATAGTAGATAACTTTTTTGAGTTCTTGTAAGTCTGAGAATATTTTAATTTTATCCTAGAATTACAGGATAGAAATAATTTTCTTTTAGAATTGAGGGCATTCCTTCATTGCCTTCCAGCTTCCAGTGTTGCTGCTGAAGTCCCACACCATCTGATTCCTGATCCTTTGTATGTGACCTTTTTCTCTCTGAAGCTTTTAAGATCTGCTTATTCTTGGCATGAATTTTCATGGTAATGTACCTTAGTGTGGGCTTTTTCTTCATTCTTTGTAAATGCATATGGTCAGAAAGATAAAACGTTGCAGCTGTTGCAACCAGGAAAAAACAGGATGCTGTTAAAAAGCAACATTCAGAAAACAAACAAAAGCTTGGAAATGAACACTGTGTCAGTAAAATTGGAAACTTCAGTAGAGAAGGAGGTGGAAGCTAAATTGGAGAAAATCTCCCTGGTGGGCTGAATGAAAGGGCAGAGCAGAAGTCAGACCAGAGGGAGGGAATGAAGCAGAGAGAGAAGAGCGGGGCAGGGGAGGAGAGAAGTGGGAAAAAAGGAAGAGAGGAGCGGGAGAGGTGGAGGAGAGGGAGAATGGGGGGCACAGCCAACAAGGAAAATTTGAGCATCAGTTTAGGAGAGGTTATACCTGTTAATAATGAGAGGTGTTTTAGTAAAACATAACAGAGAAAATGGAGGGAAAGAAACTATAAAAGGAATAATATAAGATGATGTTCTAGAATTGAAGGACACAAGTGTTTTTCTTTCCTGCTAGTAGCTTCTCTCAAAGGTCTGGTGTCCTTGGCCATGTGTATTTAAGAGTGAGCTGTTAAAAATCTGACTGGGACCTTTGGTAAGAGGGTGGGCCTGGTGTACTGCTTTGGATCACAGTGAGGTGACTGGACAAGTATTTGGGTATTTTGTTGTAACCCCTGAATGTCTATTTGCAGCCTGTTCTTGGGCTGTCATTTTCCCCAGAGAAGAATTCTTTAAACTCCTGCCCGGGTGGGTAGAAGCTTGCTATGTCTCCAGCAGAATGGGAGCCCAAGGAGTCTCACTATTCAGTATGTAGACCTTGACCTAAGTGCCCATTTCCAGTAAAGTAGGGGACTTACCTTACTCCTCTCGGCTGGGTTTGGTATCAAAGTATAAGTTCTTTCTGGTTTATCTCCAGACAGTACACTTTCCGTCTTCTGTGGGGGCAGGAAGAGAATTTGGAGCACAGCGAGGGAGCAGGATCTGGGAGTGTAGGTGCTCTCTCCGAAGACTTGCAATCGTTTCTTTAGTTGTTAGCCCCGCTCCCTCACCCCCTCCTTCATGGTGATGGGTGCTTCTAATTTCTGAGCCTTTCAGGGATTCTGCTGAGAGAATCTGCTTGTTTCTTGTTGGCCTGTCACAGATAAGGCAGGGAAAGCCAAAACCTGAGATAGTTTTCATTTCTCTGTTTTCCTTCCAGAGTGTTTTTGACAACTCTTCTTTGTTGCCATATCATTTCTCATCCCCTTTGACCTGTGAGTTTATAACTTTTAAACTTCATTTTGCTATATTTTTAGTGAGAGCCTTCATGAGGACATAGAGATGAATGTCTGTGTAAACCCTGACCTTAGAGAATGTGGTCATTTGGTCATTTGTGTGGTGTACTCGCTCTTGGCCCAGTGCTCCTCCTGCTGCCAGAGATACAGTAGTGCAGGGAACAGACAAACACCCTTGCCCTCCTGGAGCGTAAATTCTAGTAGTGAAGACAGGCACTAATCAAAATAAGTAAAGGTATAGTATGTTAGATAATGAGACAGGTTAAGGAAGGATATTTAAAAGAGATGTGGGGGTAAGAATTGTGGGGGAACTTGTAATCTTTTGAGGCAGATGGTTGGGAAGGCTTCTTTGAGAAGGAGCCATTTGAGTGAAGACCACAAAAAGTGAGGGAGCGGATTGTGCCGTTATTTGGGGGGAGAACCTTACAGGCAGAAGGAGGAGTCAGAAGAAAGGCCCTAAGGTAGCAGTGCGCACAGCATGTTTGAGGAAGAGTGAGGAGGGCCAGGGTGGCCAGATCTCACTGGAAGGGGCCGGCTTTTCTACTATGAGGTTGGAGGGTTTTAAGCAGAAGCATGATGTGATCTAAGTAATCTTGTAACAGAGCCATTGTGGCTACTGTCCTGGGAATAGTCTGGGGACGGAGCAAGGGCCGAGGCAGGGAGACCAGTTAGGAAGATGCTGTAACATTCCAAGCCACATGGAAGCTGTGAGTGGTTGGATTCTGGGTTTGCTAATGATTTGGAATATGGATGTGAGACAGAGGAACAACAGATTATTTTAAGGTTCATGGCTCTCCAGGCTTTTGAAACTGTAGAACTTGGGCCTCATAAGCAGCATTGAGTCTGTTAAATGAATTCTTTGCTAAATTATAGCCATAGAAATACTTTAAATAATTTTGCCTAACAAACCATTAACTCTTCTTTTTTAAAGCTCTTCACAGAATATGGTCGTCTGGCAATGGATGAAATTTTCCAAAAACCCTTCCAGGTAGAATGCTAACTGTAAATGTAATTCATGTCTTTGTTCTGTTTTTTTAAAAGATTTATTTATTTATTTTAGAGGGCGCACATTCAAGTTTGGGGAGGGCAGAGGGAGAGAGAGACTCTCAAGCAGACTCCCTGCTGAGTGCAGAGCCCCATATGGGGCTTGGTCTCACAACCCTGAGATCATGACCTGAGCCAAAACCAAGAGTTGGATGCTTAACCGACTGAGCCACCCAGGTGCCCCTCATGTCTTTGTTTTAGTTCAGAGATCAGCAAACTGCAGCCCGCAGGCCAAATCAGGCTAGCTGCCTGATTTTATATGACCTGTGAGTTAGGAATGGTTTTTATATTTTTGAATGGTTGCAATCAAAAAAGCAACACTATTTCATGACATGTGTAAATTAGCTGTGGACACAGACATTTATTTATTTATTTATTAAAAGATTTTATTTATTTGACAGAGAGAGACACAGCGAGAAAAGGAACACAAGCAGGGGGAGTGGGAGAGGGAGAAGCAGGCTTCCTTCTGAGCAGGGAGCCCGATGTGGGGCTCAATCCCAGGGTCCTGGGATCACGACCTGAGCCGAAGGCAGATGCTTAATGACTGAGCCACCCAGGCGCCCCGACACTGACATTTAAATTGCAGATAAAGTTTTATTGGAACACAGCTACACTCATTTGTTCATAGCTGCTGCTTTTTTTTTTTTTTAAGTATTTATTTATTTGAGAGAGAGAGTGCGTGCACAAGCAGGGGTAGAGGGAGAAGTGGACGCCCTGCTGAGCAGGGAGCCAGATGCGGGGTTCGATCCCAGGACCCTGAGATCATGACCTGAGCCAAAGGCAGACGCTTTTTTTTTTTTAAAAGATAAAAAAAATTTTTTTTTTATTAGAGAGTGAGAGAGTATAAGCAGGGGGAGCAGCAGGTAGAGGGAGAGGGAGAAGCAGGCTCCCCGCTCAGCAGGGAGCCCGACGTGGGGCTCGATCCCAGGACCCTGGAATCATGACCTGGGCCGAAGGCAGCCGCTTAACCGACTGAGCCACCCAGGGGCCCTCCATAGCTGCTTCTTGTTATGACAGTCTAGGATACTTACTCTTAGGTCCTTTATGAAAAAGTTTTCTGGCCCCTGCTTTAGCTAGTTGCTTCATAAGGATGAGAATGCATAGTAACCTCAGTAAGATTAGAGGAGTTTTAAGTATTATTATTTAATTTAGTTTTCCTTTCTAACATTAAAAGTAGATCTGATTTCAGGATTAGCTGGTACCATGTTGTTTTCTTGTCCTTTACCACATTCCTTGTGCTTGCCTTTAGAGCAGAGCCCTGAATTTAACATCTCCTCAATCTCTTCCTTCTGCTCTTACCAACCCAGGGGAACAAAAATAGCCGATAGGATATGTTCACCTCACATTTGACTTAATACATGTCCTTCTAGTGTTTATAAGGTTTCTAAAACTTTACAGAAGAAATAAATCCTTCACCATTTCTTACCCCCTTTGAAGAAGTTGGCACTATGCAAAGAAGTGTTTCAGTTGTTATTTTGAAAATGAATTTGTGCAACCTTATAATATGTTCTGTTCTTTTCCTAAATAGACACTGATGTTTTTGGTTCGAGACTGGAGTTTCCCTTATGAATACAGCTATGGACTACAGGGAGGAATGTCCTTTTTGGATAAGCGTCTACAGGTAAGAAGAAATATAATCTTCTGAGGAATTACCTACAAGGAAAGTAGTGGTAACTTTCTCATTTGCCTTTAACTGTAGTATTTAAAGCAGATTATGGAAAATTCTATTAAGTGTGTTAAATACTTATGAATATTAGCGCACTAATGGTATTCACATAGGAGTGAAGAGCCTGGGTATGGAGTGCACAGGGATTGCAGAGGACTCTGGGTTTGAAGGACTTTTGAAGGACTCTTAACTCTGGCCCAAGCTTTGATCGTGGTTTCCGTTTCACATTTTGCACCAGGTTCTATATGTGCCTTTAGAATGTCATATTCAAAACTTTAGTTCTGTTCTTCTTCTTCAGAATTCTTACTTGTTTTGGGGTGAATATAAACAGGCTTAGCCTGTTGTCCAAAATTAAAATATGGGAGTCCTTTGTCAATCACTACTAACTAGTTAGATCCTCCTTCATGACCACAAACCTTCCCTTGTTCTTCTAAAGTACTGTGCGATATTTTTTTTTTTTAAAGATTTTATTTATTTATTTGACAGAGAGAGACACAGTGAGAGAGGAACACAAGCAGGGGGAGTGGGAGAGGGAGAAGCAGGCTTCCCGCTGAGCAGGGAGCCCGATGCGGGGCTCGATCCCCCTGGGATCATGACCTGAGCCGAAGGCAGTCGCTTAATGACTGAGCCACCCAGGCGCCCCTGGAATACTGTTTTTTAAGAAACTCTTTAGTCCCTGTTCTTTGGTTGCTATGGGAACCAAACCATGGTTAATCAAAGGTATGCATTTATTGCTTCTAGGGTTCCGAGTTTTCTCAGTGGGCACAACGTAGGTTGCTATGATCCATCAGAGTTGGATCTAGTGGTCCTATACTAGTGGTTCCTAGTGAAGAAAAACAAATGGTCGTTTGTAAATTGTTGGTCTTCATTGGCAGGTAAAAGAACATCAACACGAGGAAATTCAGAATGTCCGAAACCACATTCACTCCTGCTTCTCCAATGTCACCTGTTTTCTCCTACCACACCCAGGACTCCAGGTGGCCACAAGCCCTGACTTTGATGGGAAATTGAAAGGTGTGTTACAAATGATGTTATTTTAGACTGGTGATTTGATCTTTGGAATTAAATAGTGATCAGAAAATGTCAATTATGGATCCAGTGAATGCTGAAGAGGAACGGTGTGTTCTCTTAGAAAGAATAGTATTTAGAGTCCACTTCATTTTTTTGCTTCTGCCTTACTGTGACCATTAGAGTTCACCTTAATTTTTCCATCTGAAATGGTAGTGGTCATATTCATCAGTGATCTTTCTAAGAGGCATGGTTTGATTACTGGTTTACAACAGATAAAAGTGCTAAATAAAGGAACACTAAACATTGGTCAGCTGATAATTATCAAGTACAATTAAATTCTCAGAGGAAGGTAACATGATGCATGGCATGGCTGTGTGTTTTCATCTTTGTGATTAGCGCAGAGCCTGGCGCTGGGTCATGTGTGAGTATTAGGAAGTGTTGACTAGGTGTAAGGTTAGAGTAATTACGAGTCGGGAGTCTTGGATTCCATTATCTTATTTTTGTTCCTTATTCATTAAGACCTTGTGTCATGTAATGCCTAGCCTTCAGTTTACACATGTGTTAAACTAGCATGTTTGTTTATAAACTTACCTGAGCTTCTCAGGTTCCCAGTAAAGTAGGAATAAAAATAGCTGCCATTTCTCCAGGCTCTGCTGTATTTCCCATTGCTCATCTCTTTGGGCTGCTATAACAAAATGCCATACATTGGGTGGCTTATCAACAACAGAAATCTATTTCTCATGGTTCTGGAGGCTGGAAGTCCAAGGTCAGGGTGCCAGCATAGTCAGGTGATGTCTGTCTTCCTGTTCTCAGACTTCTGGTTGTACCCTCATACATGGAAGGGCTAGGAAGCTCTGTGGGGTCTCTTTTATAAGCGCCCTAGTGCTGTTCACAGGGGTTCTGCCCTCATGACCAAATCACCCCTCAAAGGCCCCACCTAATACCATCACCTGTAGGGGTTAGGATTTCCACATACAAATTTGGTGGGGACACAAACATTCAGACCATAGCACCAACACTGCTAGTTTACTTTCCTACTTCATGCTCCCGGTGCTTCCATAAGCTGATACTGTCTCTTTTATCCCACAGATGAAGAAACTGAGTTAGGAAAGTTAAGGAACTTGCTCAAAGTACTCCGCTAGTAAGTCGGGGGGCGGGGGGGGAGAGATTTACATCTAGGTTCTTTTTGCCCCAAAGTCATATTGGGCTGAAATAGAAGTTCTTCTGTTATTTTGGGGAAATAATTTAGAGGGTATACCATGTTTAGTTTCCAGAAGAACTTGTGTTTTGAAGTGGGAGTTTTTCATAGCCTTGTAATAAACATAAAATACATCATTTTCAATTTATTTGACTTACTTGATCCAAGAACGTTAATGTACTTGTTCAGTGTAAGATTTACATCCTAGCTGGTCCTCATGGTACAGAAGAAGTACATAGTACAGAAGGTCGTCATGGTGCAGAAGGAACTGAGTTTGAAAGACTTCTTACCTTTACCTTCTGTTTGTCACTGTGTGCTATTTCCATGTGGTTGGCAGCTTTCCTGAGCAGGAGACTTCAAGAGCCTGTTAGATGGCTATTCAGAAATCCAAGTTCAGGGTCTGGCTTTGGAGAGAAATCTGCTCAGGCAACATTGGAGCTAGAACCTTTTATTTCAAAAGCAGTTGCAAGTGACTTTTCTGAGTGGAGTATATAGAGGAAGTTGAGTGTGTAGGTGATGTGTTCCTTTGGGGTTTTCACACTCTTATTAGACATACCTTTACCAAACCTAAACTTGGGTTTGTTCATCACTGGGAGGGGAGGTGTCCAGGGCATTCCTAAATGAGACTGCTGAGGAGGGGGTGAGTTCAGGGACTTCCTCGCGCACTTGACCCAGCATGTTCTCAGGTTATCAGGTATAAATACAGAAAAAGGCATTCCGCTGTATTTTCAAGCATTTTAATGTTTCAAAACATTGTTTTAAAATTCACTTTTATTATGTTATTCCGGGAAATAGGAAGAGCTTTTTAAGGTTTTCTAACCCTGGCTTTTGAAATTTTGTATCACTGTTGGGTGTGCACATTGTATCTGTTTCCTAGGACTGCTGTAACAAAGTACCACAAACTGGGAGGCTTAGGACCACAGAAATTTACTACCTAACAGTTCAGGAGACCAGAATTCTGAAATCATGGTGTCGGCATGGATTCCTTCTGGCGGCTCTGGGGGAGAATCTGCTCCCTCTCTCTCTCCTAGCTTCTGGGGTTTGCTGGCGGGCCTTGGCATCCTTTGGCTTGGAGCTGCGTGCGTCACTCCGGTCTCTGTCATCACATGGCTGCCTTCTTTCTGTGTCTGTGTGTGTTCTCTCCTCTTATAAGCACACCGCTGTTTGGATTTAGGTTGCCCCCTGATCAATATGATCTCAACTAGTTACATCTGTAATTTCCAAGTAAGGTAATGTCTTGAGATTCCAGGAGGACATGCATTTTGGGGGGATACTGTTCAACTCTCTATGTATTTAAAACTAATGAACAGCTTCTCACTAAATATTCGTTGTGCTAATTTTCCTATTATAGTTATAAAGTAGGGAACAAATTCTGTATAAGTTGTTAGTATCATAATTATGTACTATTTGCTTCCCTCATCCATCATTGAACTTTAAAACACACTTATGGGGTTAAAATCTTAACTCTCTTATGGGGTTAAAATCTTAACTCTCTTACATGAAAAGGCAAGTCCCAAAGGAAGAAGTACAAATGGTGAGTATATACTCATGAAAATACGTGTAGCATCACAATAATTGAGAAAGTGCAAATGTATTTGTACAAATTCATAGTCTTTATGGGTCAGTATCAAAATTTAAAATGTTTACATCCTTTGATCCAGTATTTCACTTTTAGGAAAGTATTTTAAAGAACTATCCAAATAAGTACATAAAAATATATGGGCAAGGATATGTATTACTATACCATTATTATAATAGAGAATAATTAGAAACAACTTAAATGGGTATTTTTGAGGAATTGGTTAAATTGTACATTTGCACTTTTAAAAGTTTACTTTAAAACTTATTTAAAGTCTTTTTTTTTTTTTTTAAGAGCAGAGAGGAATGGCAGAGGGAGAGAGAGAGAATCTTAAGCAGGCTTCACGCTTAGTGTGGAGCCTGACGTGGGGATCCATCTCATGACCCTGAGATCATGACCTGAGCTGAAATCAAGAGTCAGATGCTTAACTAATTGAGCCACCCATTTAAAGGTGCCCCTATTTCAAATCCTTTAAAAGGTTAAGGTAGATAGATGGATCTATCTGTGTTTACATAGATGTCTATGACATATAATTAAATATAAAAAGGTTGTGTAGTAGCATATGTTGTATGATCCTATTTATTTAAAAATGTATATTTATAATTATGTTTTTAAAAGGTAAGATTTAAAAAATAAAAATTTTCTTTTTTGCTTTACTTTAAAATATATAGTCTGCCTTGTGTGTCTGTTTGAGGAACTATAGTCATTAGGAGGATTGCTCATAAAGAATTCTTATTAGCTCTGCAAAGGTTTGTGTACTTTTAGGGGCTTTGCAGATGGATATTTTGTAATTTTAGGCAACATTCTAACAGGATATTGAAGGGTTTTGAGTGAAGTGTAAATTGGACGATAAATTGCAAATAGTTGGTGGCTTGGAGTACTTGGCAAGTGCTTGATTGAGAACCACATAAACTTTATTGTGGGGGACCTGTAAATAGAGCTGATGTATTTTTCAGAGTTAAAGAAAATGCCTCCATGTTGTCTTTTCTCAAGTATATACTTGTGTGATGACTTGGCTGAGGTCCTGCGAGCCGCATATAACCCGGAAAAGACAACAGTAGCTTGAGAGTGGTTAGGGCTAATCCACAGAAGGACCTTAATGTAATTACTGTAGAACATTTAAATTTAGTAAGTTACATTTTCTGCAAATGTTTTCCTAAATACTTCAGGGATAATTTTAGTGGTTTTATTTGCTGTGTTTTTTTTTTTTTTTTTAAAGAATGACCATTTATCCAGAGATGAACACTTGCCAAACACAGTTTTGGTATAATCGCTGCTCAGCTGCTGCTTCCTCTTAGCTCGATTAGCTCACTTTTGAGAACCCTTTCATCAGACACAGATGCCTCTGCCATTGACATAAAGAAAACTGTCATCTTCGTATTTTCTAGAGCAGAGAGACCTAATGCAGTAACCCCTGAGTTGTTTAGCTAGAAATTAAACGGAAGAGTTTGTAGGGCACAATCTTCTTTGACACCATGAGATTTGGAGATTGTCAGGAGATAGTTCTTGTCTGTTCTGAGTCTAAAACTAGTGTTTTGGTATAGCCTTTATAGAAGAATTACTAGCTGAGGGTCTTTTAAATCTGGGTAAAGTTGAATATAGGAACAATCTGTGGTGTCTATATTGTGCTAGTTTCTTGAGTGAAATATTTTTGAAGTTCTTAGTCTTTCAGTATGATAAAAGTTGAAACCATAAAGAAAGGGTGGTTGGTTTTTTTTTGGAATAGGTAATACATTCACATGTTTAAAATCCCAAAAAGGATTAAAAAGTATTCAGGGAAAAGTCTCCTCCACTTTTTTAGGCTTCCAGAGTTTCTTTAGTATGTGCAAGCAAATATGAATATACACAGAATAACATAGCATGTACACTATTTTATGGTTTTCCACTCCAAGTTACAAAGAATTTGTCCCACTTTTTTTCTTGAAATTTTGTAGTTTTGTTTTTCACGTTACAATTTATGATCCAGTTTAGATCCATCTTATTTTCTGAATGGCTACCCATTTGTCCCAAAAGTATTTATTGAATAGTCCAACTTCCCCCACTGGTTGAAATGTCACCTTTATCATATATTAAGCCACTAATCAATGTGTAATATGGGGATTAATCCCTTTTTAAAATTGGTAAAGGCCATACTTTGGCGCCATCCTGAGGAGACTATAGAATTAAGAGTATTTGGATGGGAGATTGGTACCCATTTATTTAGGTGGGACAGATTAGAAAACCAAAAAATTTTTTTGATGCCATGAGATCTTATAATTGATCAGTTATTTAAGATGGGATGGGAATCGGTAGAGATGAGAGGTACATGTTACTATTTAGAGAGAAATGTCATGTAGATTTTAATTTATGAGGCATAAATAAATTCTAGGTAGATTACAGAGTTAAATTATAAAAATTAAAGCATGCGGAAAATTTAATTTTATTAGATCTCTGGAATTGGGGAAGGACTCTTTAAAATTAGGAGGAATAAAGGAAATTGCCAAGGAAAAATGGTATAGGTTTGAATACCTAATATTTTATGCATATTAAAAAGGCAAAGAAACTGGAGAAAATATTTCAGTGATTATAGTATACATAAGGATAGAGGATAGCATATTTGTTTACTTTGTGAAGAATGACTGTATTCTAAGATACAGGCCCCTCGTAGGGGAAAAGGAAATCAGCTGATGAACCAATATGGGAGAAAGCTTGGTCTAACTAGCAACAACAGAAATGAAAGCAAATTAAAATAATGAGCTACCATTAAATTTTAAAATGTATTATTAGGTATACAAAAGAATGCAAAAGTTTTACATATATAAAAGGATACATAGAACTTACATATGTAAGATATAAAACCTTATATAATGAACATCATGAACCTATTACCCAACTTAATATCTAGAACCAGAATTGGCAAATTTTTTCTGTAATGGACCAGATAGTAAATATTTTAAGTTTTGTGGGCCATACAGTTACTCATTGTTGCTATTGTAACAAGAAAGCAGCCGTAGACAATGCATAAATGAAGACATAATTGTGTTTCAACAAAATTTTACTGACAGTTACAGTTAGCAGGCCATATTTGGCCCAAGGGCTGTAGTTTGCCAGTCTGTCATCTAGAACATTACCAGTACTATTTCCTATACCTGTGTGCTTTTTTCCTATCCCTTCTCCCTCCCTCCCCACAGAAATAACTGCTATTCTAAATTTTGCTTATTTCACCCTTGAATTTTTTAAAAAAATCATTACTTGTGTTTGAATCACTTAGTCTGTTGCTAAGTTTCTTTAATTTTGAACTTACAAAAAATAGTATGTGGCCAACTTGTATTTTCATTGAGTGTTTTATTTCTTTTCTTTTTTTTTTTTTTTAATTAAAAAATTTTAGGGGCACCTGGGTGGCTCAGGTCCTTCGGTTCAGGTCATGATCCCAGGGTGCTGGCATCGAGTCCCACGTCGGACTCCCCGCTCAGTGGGGAGTCTGCTTCTCCCTGTCCCTCTGCCCTTCCCCCCACTCATGCTTTCTCTCTCTCTCATGCTTTCTCAAATAATAAAATCTTTTTTTTTTAATTTATTGAGAGAGATAATGATAGCGAGAGAGCATGAGAGGAGGGAGAGTCAGAGGGAGAAGCAGACTTCCCGCTGAGCAGGGAGCCCGATGCGGGACTCGATCCCGGGACTCCAGGATCACGACCTGAGCCGAAGGCAGTCGCTTAAACAACTGAGCCACCCAGGCGCCCTCAAATAAATAAAAAAAAAAAATTTTTTTTTTAAAGATTTTATTTAGAGAGACAGTGTGCACGAGAGTGTGCCTGCAAGTGGGGGGAGGGGCGGATGGAGAGGGAGAAAGAGAATCTCAAGCAGACTCTGTGCTTTGTGCGGAGCCGACATGGGGCTGGATCCCATAACCCTGAGATTGTGACCTGAGCCAAAATCAAGTCATACATTCAACTGACTAGCCAGATGCCCTGAGTGTTTTATTTCTGAGATTATCTGTGTTACTGCATGTAGTTTAGTTCATTCACTTTTTTTAACATTTTATTTATTCATTTGAGAGAGGGAGAGACAGAGAGAGGAGAGGCGAGGGAGATGGAGAGCAGACTCCCCGCTGAGCCAGGAGCCCGGATGTGGGGCTCGATCCCAGGACCCCACCCATGACCTGAGCCGAAGGCAGATGCCCAACCATTTAAGCCACCCAGGCGCCCCTAGTTCATTCACTTTTACTGTAGTATAATTGTGCCTTCTGCGAATATAACAGTTTATTCTTGATGGAAATGTGAGCTTTTCCAGTTTCTTGCTGTTATGAACAGTGCTGCAGACATTCTAGTATATGTGGATATATGGGAGTCTCCCAAAGGTATGTGCTTTAAAAGCAGGATTCCTGGAAAAAAAAAAAAGCAGGATTCCTGGATATTAGAATTTGTATATTTTCACCTTACTGGATAATGCCAGATTGTTTCCCAAAGTGGTTGTTCCAAATTATACTCCCTTCATCAGTGTATACAGAAATTCCTGTTGATCCATATCCTAGGCAATGCTTAGTATTATCAGACATCTAGTTTTTACCAAATTAGTGATAAAAAACAGTATGTCATTGTAGCCTTAAATTGCATTTCTCTGGTTACTAATGGGATTGAATATCTTTTCATATATTTATTTACATCCGTGCTTCCTTTCCTCTGCAATTCCTATTCACGCCTGTTCAGTTTTAGATTGGGTTTGTCTTTCTCTGCAATGTATAGATCCTGTATGTGTATTTTAAGATATGAACCTTTGTTAGTTATGTGTTGCAGATATCTTCTCCCATCTTCTGTCTTTTTTTTTTTTTTTTATGGTGTCTTAGCTTAAATGTGATTGAATTCATTCACCTTTGATCTTACGTAGTGTTTTTTTAAGTCTTGTTTTAGAAAATCCTTTCCTTTCTCCACACACATACCTGCACACACTCTCCCTTGATCTCTTTCTCTCTCTCTCAAGTATTGTCTTTCATACTTGTGTTTAATCCACTGGGCATTAATTTTTATGTATGTATGAAGGAGAGATCCATTTTCTATTTTTCTATAGATACCAATACTTTGACATCATTTATTGAATACTCTGTCTTCCCATTATTTATAATTTCTGTTACATTTTTAAAAAACGCTTTTCACTGGGGTGCCTGGGTGGCTCAGTTGGTTAAGCATCTGCCTTTGGCTCAGGGCATGATCCAGGGTCCTGGGATTGAGTCCCGCATTGGGCTCCCTGCTCAGTTTGAGCCTCAAAGTAGAGATTGTTTAAAAATGAAATCTTTTTTTTTTTAAAAGATTTTATTTATTCATGAGAGACAGAGAGATTGGCAGAGGCAGAGGGAGAAGCAGGCTCCCCATGGAGCAGGGAGCACGATGTGGGGCTCGACCCCAGGACCCTGGGATCATGACCTGAGCCAAAGGCCAGACGCTTCACGACTTAGCCACCCAGGCGCCCCGGGAGGGAATACTTTAAATGTTAATCATCATTATCTGGCTTTATGATTTTTTTTTAATTCGTTTTGAATGCCTTCCAGGAGTGTGTACATTGTCATTATATTATCTAGTAATTGCTTTTAGAGGACCATATGTTCCAAGGAAAGAATCTAAGGAAATAAAAGTAACCCAGAGATTTTTCTACAGAGATTCTTAGTTTGTAATTGGAAAAATTTAGAAGCTGCCTTTGTTCTGTTCACTGCTCTGCCCCCAACTCTTACAACAATGTCTGCCTCAAAAAGGTTCTCAAAAACTGTTGAATGAATAAAATTTGAAATCAGAATGTCTCAGTTTTATACATGAGAGTTCTGGAGTGTTGAAGAGTTCCTACCTTGATGTGGGTTCCTACCCACTTTCTTTTCAGCTGATGTTTGAATTAGTTGGGAACCTAAGAAGATTCCTTGTATTTTAATTCCCTTGTGTCTTCAGAGTTGGACCAGCTAGTTCTCACTTTGAGGAAAGAGCTCTTAATTAATGGCTCTCCTGCACCCTCCGTGGGAATTTTGTAGAAGCTGTCATCTTTCCTGAGATAATAGCCTTTTCCTTTTGGGATGGCCCAGAGGGTCTTGAGGAGATAATAGAAAATAAATACCATGCGGTACAGGTGCTTCTACTTGTTTTAACATTAAAAAATGAACAACAGAAAAGCAAGTGGATGATGAGTAGTGATTTCTAATGGATCGAAGGGGGAGTGTGAAGGTATGGTAAGGAAGAGAGGACTAGAGGGGTTGATAATTGATTTTTTGGAAATTCTTTAAAAAGTGAGATTTCTTGAAAGGCTGGGAAGTAGACTAAATCCTCCAGAATGAAAACCAGGGGAAGGATATTCTGCATATTCTGTTCTAGACTAGGCAGCCCTTAATTCCCAGAAGGGAAGGAAGGAGACAGTAAAGGTACATGCTAGACAGAGGTCCATCAGCAACCTGGTCATGGGCAGAAAGTGTCAGACACAGTTGGGACTCCCTCCCCTCACTTTTCTTTTTTTTAAGATTTTATTTATGAGAGGGGCGCCTGGGTGGCTCAGTCATTAAGCGTCTGCCTTCGGCTCAGGTCATGATCCCAGGGTCCTGGGATCGAGCCCCGCATCGGGCTCCCTGCTCAGCGGGGAGTCTGCTTCTCCCTCTCCTACTCTCCCTGCTTGTGTTCTTTCTCTCGCTGTCAAATAAATAAAATCTTTAAAAAAAAAAAAAAAGATTTTATTTATGAGAGAGAGATCGAGCATGAGCAGGGAGAGGGGCAGAGGGAGAAGCAGACTCCCCGCCGAGCAGGGAGCCCAATGTGGGGCTTGATCCCAGGACCCTGGGATCATGACCTGAGCCGAAGGCAGACGCTTAACTGACTGAACCACCCAGGCATCCCTCCTTCCCCCTCACTTTCAACTAGCAAATGTTAAAACAGTTGGATAGACTGAAGATTGCAGCTTGGTTGAATAAACCCGTTTGGCTTACTGTTTTCTTCCTCACGGTCTTGTGAACAGATATTGCCAGTGAATTCAAAGAGCAGTTGCAGACCCTGATTCCATTTGTATTAAACCCAGCTAATTTAATGGAAAAGGAGATCAGTGGCTCAAAAGTTACCTGTCGGGGGCTATTGGAGTATTTTAAGGTAAGTACGGGTTTTAATTATCAAAATATTTGACTTTTGGTAAAACTGATCTAGGTTGTAAACTAACTTGAATTTTACTATTTTAAAGCTAAGGGGCAAGTTTCATGGGGGAGATGGTGAGAGGCATTTTCAGAGCCTCCAGTGTCCTTCCAGGAGTGGGCCACTGGGTGGCAGTATCGGTCTCAAGAACCAAATGGATGTTCTTTGCACTTTCTTAGAGGAGTAATTACTGTGGCTAAAGGAAGATTGTTCCTCAAGGAAGATGGTGTGGACAGGAGGTGGTTAGGAAGTTGCCGTGAGTAGGAGGAGATGGCATCTAGAGGTGACATGGCTACTTCAAGGCGGACGGTCACTGTGCCCACAGGTAGTGGTGAGGCCAGTGTGCATGGGGAATCTGGTGGGACTCCTAGCCTTGCTAGGCTTGTGCTGCTTGAGAACAGTTTTAGTTAACTAAAAATGCTAACATGCACTCAAAGGTGTGTTGTGTTTTTGCTAATTCCTGGGTGTTGATCTAGGTCTTTAGGAAAATGCAGTTATATGGTCATTTTCTAAAAATTAAAGTATGATTAAATGTGACAGGATCACATTTTTCACAATTGTTTTTACGTTTATATTCTAAGGCATATATTAAAATTTACCAAGGAGAAGATCTGCCTCATCCCAAATCCATGCTTCAGGTAAGCAATTCTTTGACATCCGAAATGATACTGTTTGATTCCTTGTTGACTCATACACAAGAAGCAGCGTCCTTTAAGAAGAGATTGTGGGGCGCCTGGGTGGCTCAGGTGGTTAGGTGTCTGACTCTTGATTTCAGTTCAGGTCATGAACCCAGGGTCCTGGGATGGAGCCCCACGTAGGGCTCTGTGCTCCGTGGGGTAGTCTGCTTGAAAATTCCCTCTCTCTCCCTGTCCCTTTGCCCCTTCCCCCACTTGTGCACATCTCTCTCTCTCTAAAATAAATAAGACTTTAAAAAAAAAAAGAGAATGCTTTTGCTCTCCTTGCCTGTTATGCTGAAGTATGAATTTTTAGCACATTCTTCAGCACTGTGACTGCCCTCTGGGTTTTTTTTTTTTTTTTAAGATTTTATTTATTTATTTGACAGAGAGAGGGAGGGAGCACAAGTGGGGGGAGGGACAGAGGAAGAGGGAGAAGCAGGCTCCCCACTGAGCAGAGAGCCTGGCATGGGGCTCGATCCCAGGACTTTGGGATCATGACTGAGCTGAAGGCAGATGCTTAATTTACTGAGCCACCTAGGCACCCCTGCCCCCTGGGTTTTTTGTGCGTATTTGTGGGGGTACAGTTAAAGCAGAATGGCCCCTCACTGGGCCTGGTCTTCCCACCAAACGCACTGTGGAGAGCACTGTTTTATTACACCCAGGTAGAACAGGCACAGTCATCTTAGACAAATTATTGTCCTGTTTTCTCTTGTCTACTTTAGTAGAACATGTCCTGACATACCTATTTACTACTTACTGGTCAGGTTTTTTATTTTTGGGGACTTTTATTTTCAACATTTTGCTATTTTCAAGATGTCATTTTGTTAACACATAATCTCTGACTTTCATAAAGTTTACTGCCAGATGTTTATTTCTTTAGTAGCAAAACATTTTTACAAAGGAAGCTAGAATTTGGAATTCATGTAAAGATAAATTTTTTCCCTTCTTTTTTGACCCATGTCTATTTCTTAACACTTATTTTTTTTTAAGATTTTATTTTATCTATTTATTTTTTAAGATTTTATTTATTTATTTGACAGAGAGAGAGAGACAGTGAGAGAGGGAACACAAGCAGGGGGAGTGGGAGAGGGAGAAGCAGGCTTCCCTCTGAGCAGGGAGCCCGGATGCGGGACTCGATCCCAGGACCCTGGGATCATGACAGAGCCAAAGGCAGATGCTTTAACCACTGAGCCACGCAGGTGCCCCAAAGATTTTATTTATTCATTTGAGACACAGAGATACAGAGAGAGAGAGAGCATGAGCTGGAGGAAAGGCAGAGCAAGAGGGAGAAGCAGGCTCCCTGCTGAGTCAGGAGCCCGTTATGGGGCTTGATCCTAGGACCCTGGGATCATGACCTGAGCCGAAGGCAGACATTTAACCATCTGAGCCACCCAGGCACCCCTATTTCTTAACACTTAAAATGGAAGCAAAGGGAATGATATTTCCGGAGGTTTAATTGATGGTAAAACTCCTTATGTATAAGAATGTTTTTTGGCAGAAAATTTGGTAGAAAAGTAGTATTTTATTTCATAAATTGGGCTGTATGGAAACAAAAAATGGCAGAAGGATCCTAAAAAAGGAAGAATGGGGACAGGGTGAGATGACGTTGGCACTTGGTTATTTGTGGAAGAATGTTAAAAGAGGGGATTCAGAGCTTATGCTTTCCTTTCTTAAAAGGCCACCGCTGAAGCCAACAATTTAGCAGCTGCAGCCTCCGCCAAAGACATTTATTACAACAACATGGAAGAGGTATGTTGGGCACGTGTCTTATTCTGACGTATCTATCACCTGGCCCTGTTGCTCACTTCAGAAGCCCAAACTGATCCTGTTTAATGTGTTTGAAGATGATGAAACAACAAAGCTGCGTTCAGGTCCCCCTGGTAATTGGGGGTCTTCTAGTTCTTTCCATTGCTAAGCAAGACTTTCTTTTGGTGCAGTTAATGTCACCTTGCTTATTTCAGTGTGCTTTTCAGAGGAAGCGAACCCAGACTTTTATTGGTCTTGGTCAAATTGATTTCTAATATCTTAAAATGTTCTGACTTTTTCAGTGTTTTCATTTGTTTTATTGGGCACTTGTTTTCAAAGGGATCTTCAACACGTTATGTCTTCATTCTTTTTAGGTTTGTGGGGGAGAGAAACCTTATTTGTCTCCGGACATTCTGGAGGAGAAGCACTGTGAATTCAGACAGCTTGCTCTGGACCATTTTAGGAAGACCAAGAAGATGGGTGGGAAGGATTTTAGCCTTCGTTACCAGCAGGAGCTGGAGGAGGAGATCAAGGAGCTCTATGAGAACTTCTGCAAACACAATGGCAGCAAGAATGTCTTTAGCACCTTCCGAACCCCTGCGGTGCTTTTCACGGGCATCGTGATTTTGTACATCGCCTCAGGCCTCACTGGCTTTGTTGGCCTTGAGGTTGTGGCCCAGCTGTTCAACTGTATGGTTGGACTGCTGTTAATAGCACTTCTTACTTGGGGATACATCAGGTATTCTGGTCAATATCGTGAGCTGGGCGGAGCAATTGATTCTGGTGCAGCATATGTACTAGAGCAGGTGAGTGATACCAGCTGATGAGGCTATGGGTTGATAATGGACAGACGTTTGTGCTTTTATTGTAAAGTATTTCCATTTGGAAGAGTTTCACAGTGAAAGAAGGCATGAGAAACTTCCCCTGCCATTTTTTGTTTTTTGATAGGCATTATGTTGTATCATCCTTCTTTAGGATATTAATATTTATTCCTAATATTTCGTTTCCACACCTAAAAACTGCCCTCTAATGCAAGAAAGTGCTAACTTAGACATACTGTGTTACTCATGGGGAGCTTCTAATCACATGCTCTTTAGACGCAATTCCTGTGTGATTCTCCCCCATCCGAGGTTAATTTGCTTTACTGAAAATCAGGAGCTTTGAAATTTTTCTGTTTTGAGTTCTAATGGATGGCATCTCTTTCGCTTAAAATCTTTAAAAAAGCCAGTGGCTTTTGACATTGACGTGATCTCCAGGTGTACAGATCCTTGAGACTCGGATTTCTTTTTCCGAGTACCAGGAGCAGATCAGTTGAGTCAGAAGCTTGTGAGGAGCCAAGGTGGCTTCCCAGCCCACCACGATAATGGAGCAGAGGCTTCAATGACTCTGGGGAGCCAGCTGCCACCACAGGTTCCCCCGACACCTGCATTTTCATTTCCCAGTTTTCTGGTAACCTACCCGTGACGTAGACAGAGATTTCTGAAAGTTTATCTCTGAAGTCTCTCTCGATGCTGTGTTGTATTTTATTAACTTACGTGTTGAATAAATGGACTCTTGCAGGCTACTTCTCATATGGGTAATTCCACTCAGGCCGCTGTGAGGGATGCAGTTGTTGGGAGGCCACCTGTGGATAAAAAAGCTCAATAGCATCTTGACGAGAGGAGCCAACGAGAACGCGGCCAGCCCCTCCTGATTTCTGGGTTTCTGCCACGGCCACAGGTCCAGGTCCAGAGGAACGCAGATCTGGGATCACCCGGGAAGAGCTGAAACTCAGCAATAATAAATTAATAGACCTTTCCCGTGGCTTCAAATTCTTAAACATACTTCCATTTCTGTTGGAAGCATTTTTTTTCCTTGCTGGTATAGATCCATGCCTGCGTCTATTTTCTTATTACTCTCTGCTTTGTGCACTTTATGGGGAGAAAGCTAAAGGAAAAACTGCAAATGTGGTTTTAAATCCTGTATGTGCCACTTAGTGCCTTTTAAGATTGAATCCAGGCTTTTGAGGACATGATAGGGAGGGAATCAAGAATAACCTCGTGAAAGATGCTGTTTTGTGGTGAAACCTATCTGTTCTTCTATACCTTACTATTTTAAAATGTTTACAAAACTTGCAAAAGCTTCAGAACAAAAGACTGAAAAGGATGCCATTACACTTTTAAAATCTTATAAAGAATCCTGCTTGCCACATAGTGTGGAAAATCCATATCCTATTTAAATCCACCATACACTGAAATTTATGGTCTTTTACTGACAGGCTGACAGTTTTGTTGGAGCATACTTTTATTTTATTTTTGCCTTCATTCCTCTAGCTTCTTTTTAGAAAAGAGGGAAACATGCCTTGAAGAGCCACAGCGGCTCATAATGAAAGGAGTGAGCTCGATGCTTTAAACAAAAAAGCTTGAGTTTAAATGAACCATGTGACCTCTGATGAGTCACTTGAACTTGTGCCTTGCTCACATTCACTGTTTGCAGGTTTTTATACACATCTGTATTATATATAACTCATGGTTGTCATTTGAGAGGTCTTGTTTTCAAGAGTTCTACTTAAGAACAGAACTTTATTAAGGATTAGAGGAAAGACATTACCAAACATTACTGCCTTTAGTTGTCCTGTTTCATGTGGCCTAGCAGTAAATCAGGTCTTTATCCAAAACATTTACTTGCGTTCTCCTAGGCACTGTCTAATATTTTTAATAATAAAGCTAAAATTGTCAGTTTTGTTTAGCGAGTCTTCCTTTCTTTAACCTCACTTGACTAGTCTGGTAGCTTTAAAATAGCTTTGGCTTAGTGAGGACCGGAGTCCCACCTAAATATGGACAGTATTCAGAAGTATCTAAGAAATCTTTTTTATTTACCTTGATTGGGTGGTAAAAAACATTTTCTCTATGAGTTGCCTTTTCCTTTGATTTATAATATAATGGTGAATTATTGTGGATTTTTAAACTTCACAGAACTTGCCTTTAAGTATTTATATAAACATTCAGGTATGAGAGCCTTAATTAAGATAGTTTTTGTTGTGGGAGGGAGATAGGAAGGCTTAGGCGAAACCCAAGTGTAGATTCTATATACGTGAAGAAGTCTGAATGGAAGGCAGAAGAAAGAAGCATGTAATCTCTTTATTAAAGAATTTTTACTACATTAACACTTCACCACTGAAGTATTTTTATGAGTCTGAATTAATTCCAAGCATTTTATATTTTTTTCCTATCTACATACCATCTTTCCCCTAAGTTCTTGCTAGTTTATTCAATTGCCATTAAATTTTAGGAAAATTCCAGCTTGTTCTAAAAACTGTTTATTTGCCTATCAGTGCTGCTTAGTGTTGACTGTTAAATTGAAAGCTTCTCTTTGAAATTTTGGTGCATTTTCAGGTGGCCTCTCATCTTCCTGAAGGTTCATATTTATTCACTAAAGCCTTTACAGATGTTGAGATACTTGGCTTTTAATGCATTGTAGAGGCACATTTATAGATTTCAGAATAATTGTCTAGAGTGATGCTTTTAATGGTGAGAAAAGGATGATGTATCTAAAACTTATTTTAATACTAAAGTATTAGAATTTTTAAAGTAAAACAATATGTGATAATGTATGACTAAGTGAAATCTTAGGATTTAGTTACTGTTCAGATTCACCATTTCTGTTTTGATCTTAAATAATTTGGTTTAATTCCCTGGGGAAGCTTACTATTTTTGTCTTTATTAATTTATTCTGGCTCTGGGAAGTACTGATAAAGTTTTCTCAGTGAAGATTCTTAATGAGTTTTCTTTGGTCTCTTTTCTCTTATTTTTACAGTAAATTGGTGGTTTTATATCACCTTTTTCAATAAAAGATGCGTTCTCATTGCTGGCTTTAAATAATCCGGGGAGATTTATAACCAGGTTGAAAAGAATATCTTGTACCTCTTAACTTCCCTCAGCCTTTAGTTTGTGGGTCAGAGACATTGCTTAGGTGTTCACGCTGCAAGTGTTTGCATGGTGTGTGTAGTTCTGCCACTCCTGACCAGCCTTTTCACACAAGCATTTATGGTTTGCACATTTCTAACAGTTATATGGGGGCATAGTCCTATTAACGTGCAAAAGGAGGTTTTCAGAATTTCTATGAAAAGTATTCATTTCAGGAAAAAGAAATTTTTTTTTAAATCCAATTAGCTTTTTATAGTAAAAATAATAGAATCAAAATTTCAGTTCTCTCTAGATTGGTTTGTAGATACAATGGGGGCAAATGATCATGTATGATGATCAACATCTTCAGAGCCATGCCCTATTTTAGCAATATACCAAGAAGTCTGTTCCTTGGAGGTTTATGTGTTAACGCCTTCTTTATACTTGGTAGAATTGCCTATGAATATTGTTTTGCTTTATCTGCTTTTTCTTTTTTCTCTTAACATGAAGTGAAAGGCTTTAGGCACATAAACAGACAAACAAACTGCCTTGTTACTGGCAGGGTGTTCCCTTAGCAGGTCATAGCCAGTGTTTTACCTATGTTATAAAAGTAGTGTCTTGGATAGGGTGAGTTTGGATGGGTATTTATGCATTATGGATGAGTTACAGAGAAGTAGGTTGACGTAAGCCCAGGCAAAAGTGATAAAAAAACAAAACTAAATAGTTCTATTTTTTCCTAGAGTTTTTTTTTCTTTTTAAAAACAATTTATATGGAAGTCTTCATAGGCCTTTTTTCCCCCTCATAGAATATTGAAATGTAATTTAGGATGATTTTAGGATGGCTACCATCCAAGGTAGCCAGTGTGGGCTACATCTTTCTGGCTTACATTTAGACCTGACAAAATTTTAGTCAAGGAATAGGGCATAATGAAGATAAACTTCAGTCATGGAAGTACAAACTATTTGTGTAAGTGATTTTTTAAAATGACAATGACCATTTGCTGCGATAGGATAGTTTTCCTTATGTCCTGTTGTAGTTGTGTTTTGGGTAGTGGCTCTCATCTATGTTAGAGTGCCCAAGACATACCTGGGAGGCTTGTTTAAAACCATTCTGATCCCTAGCTTTATGTTAGGGATTGCCTCAGTGGGTCTGGGTTGTGGCCCTGGAATCACCCCTTTGATAGTATTGCAGGTGGCTCAGAGACCAGTGAGAGAGATGCTCCGTGGGGTGGGAAGGTGCAATCAGTATTGTTTGGAGCCGAGGGGACGGTCAGCTTCTACCTGTGCTCAGAATAGGTGCTCTGCTGCCAGTACTATGACTTGAGGGTTCACCGTGTTCCGAGTAATAAGGGCGATGTCTTTCATCTAGAGGATTAGCTAAGCTCGTTAAAGCTGTTTTTCTAAATTAAGGTATCATAGTGCCTTCTCTGAAAAATGAATGTACAAGTGTCCTATTTACTAACAGGTGTAATTAGGATTAAAAAAAAAACTTTTTGAAAGTAGTTTTTCTTTTAAAAAGCAAAATTCACTGTGACTTGAACCCCTCATCTTTCATGCACAGAAAACCTTAAGCCATAAATAAAAATAATAAAAAGGAAGGAGAAAATAATTTTGAAAATTAGTGACAGAAGTACCCCTATAACAGGAATTTTTCAAAACAGGTCTAGGAGCAGAAAGATTTCAAAAGAAAATGTTCTTCCTTGGAAGGAGTTTTCATGTGCCAGAACTAAAATTTAAATGTAGTGCTCTTCTGACCAAGGAAAAGTTACATTTGATTGCCAAAGCTTTCTAATTTAGATGGCTAAATGCTGCCATGGACTTAAGCCTTAAAGGGGTTGGTATTAATCCTGAGCATGTACAAGTTTTCTTTTTCTTTTCTTTAAAAAATGATTTGTTGAAAATACTTTCTCCTAGACCCTTGCCTTTGAACGGCTTTAAAATTTAATATACTTTTTAAAAAGTGCAATGGGATGAGATTATGCTATTAGTTTATTAAAAGCATGTTTTCTGTTTCTTAATTGTAAGGTCATTTAATTGAATAAAGCTCATAGCACCATGTCTGTGTTTTGTTTCTTTCTCCGTTCTTTAATATGGGAAGGTCTGTGAAATAGATTTGGGCTTGTCAAAGTGAATAGGATATCTAAGGGGAGGAATAACCCCATGTCAAAGGAGGTAGTGGTAATGCGGTTCGGGTGCATCACCATTCTCTGTCCTGCAAAACCATACCTAACAGTCTTGCTAGCATAGTGCTGGAGAAGGGCATGGACTTGGACTTAAAATTGAACACAAGTTTTATTTACAGTAACGGGGACTTGTGAGGACCCTTGAACTTGTAGCACTTTCATTTGGTTGCCCTATTTGGTTAGATGGTTCCTCTTTGGGAGTGAGTGAAGCTCTTTCAAGAGCTTTCCCTTTTAACTGGTGACCTTGGAGCCAGTGGAGAGGTTGCATTCAACTTCCCAAATATTGGCTAATTGCTAGACATAGCCCATTTGGCCCTGCAGTAAGATTTCTAGTATGTTTGTAGATTGAAACATATACTTGGTGTGGTCAGTTGCCATCCCTCCCTCCCTCCCTCCCTGTCTCCCTCTCTCTCCCTGATGGTGGTCATTTGTTCGGTGCCAGGCTAGCTGTTGCATTCGTGCTCATCAGTATAGTTAGGGAGGGTGCAAACTCACAGATTGTTAGGGTAGGAAGAGTACGATGAAAACCCGGGACTACCATCAGAGCGGTGATACCCCAATAGCATAAGCTGGGGAGAAAGACGGGTGGGGAAAGGCGGATGGATGGGGAGAAGTCGAGCTAACTGTTTTGTCTTTGGTGCATTGACATTCTTGCCTTTGATTACCATATATCAGTTTGCAAAGATGAGTTCAGCTCTAGCTGAATCAAAGGAAAAATGATGGTAACTGGATGTCTAGGAGCAAAACTGACATCAGGCACTGGAAGAACTCGAATGTCAACAAGGCTATTATCTCAAGTACGTGGCAGCTGTATTATCTGCTTTTGCAGATGGATTTCTTCCATGCTGCAGGGGAGGTAAGGCGCAGATGGTTCCAGGCTTACATCATACCACTTGAATGTTTCCAGGGGAAAGAGCCTTTTATTTATTCATTTTTTTTAACCCATTGCCTATTTAGAAATGTGTGTGTATATAGAGAAGGCTTCTGATTGGTCTGGCTTGGGTCATATGTTCCTTCAGGGTCAATTGCAATAGCCTGGGGGCTGGGGCCTGATAGCTGGACCAAGGTCACATGTGTCTCTAGTCAGGGTGATGTGGTACAGTGATTAGGCAGGTCCACTAGAACCACACTGTCACCAAGTGAAAGACTGCTGGACAAACAAAAAGAAATGTTTGTTTTGGACTGTTGCTCCATTTAACAAACATAGGGGAATGAGAAACCTGGAACATTTCAGGAATGTTCTTTCAAAGGGAAGTATGGTGGTTATGCTGCACATTTATGCAGGGGAAGCTCTTCAGAGCCTCTCAATAGGGATTTGTTCTCTTTAGTAGGACTTGAGGGGTCAGAAATGGGATTCAGAAGGAAGTTACATTTCACCTTTTCTTTCATAAAAACCTGATTTTTCTGGTCAAACTGTCAGAAGTGGCATATTCACAAAGCTGCACCAGAGTAGCCTGGATAAACATTAAAAAGCCTGTATTCAGGGGTGCCTGACTGGCTCAGTTAGCAGTGACTCTTGATCTCAGGGTCTTGAGTTCAAGCCCCACATTGGGCACAGAGCCTACTAAAAAAAAAAAAAAAGCTTGTATTCAGTTTTGACATTGATGGACTTTTCCCCGGAAGAGTGTTCAGGTTTTGAGAGTTAATGTCAAGCAACAGAAACCCTCATGTTCGCACAAAATGCTCCTAATGGATTCTGCTCCTTTAAATGTGGCTTGCCGGCCCTCTCTCTCCTTCCCCCCTCTCCCCTTCCCCCTTTCCTTCTCCTGCACTGGCCTTGTTGCCCTCCTACCCCACCCACTCAGAATCCCCACAAGGTCTCATGCTTCAGCATAAGCCTGAGCCATTTTCTCCTACTTTCTCAGAGACCGCAAAACACTGCCTGGAGAATCGTCCTCCTTAGAAGACAGAAAATGGAGACTGCAAATAATGACCATTACCCCTCCCCCACCACAAGAAGAACAGGGCTCTGTGACTGTGGTTGCAGAAAAGACCAGAGACTTTGGAGTCAGCTCTTGGTTTGATCCGGGCATGGCTTCCCATTCGAACAGCGGTAGTGGACTTGGAGGGTGGGGGGCGCCTAGGGACAGTCTTGCTGGTGGCGGTACCAACATCGTGTGGTATAGCTTCTTGGCCTGGGGTCTGTCTTACCGAGCTCCTCTTGAGCCCTGTGTGGAAGGCGAAAATCACTTTCCTGACATCCTTGTCCCTCAGGATGCTTTCTGTTTTGTTTTCCCTGGCACAGCACAGAGGGAAATAAATAAGGGAAGTGACATCTGGGCAGTTCTGAAAGCAGAGAGTA